TATTGAATATACTGTTGACAGAGAGCATACAAATAATCTGTCTCAAATGTGAGATTTCATATTATAAGCCTTAGGCATGTTGTCAGGAGAGACCATGCTTGGTAAGGTGGAGGGTCGCTGCAAAAGAGGAAGCTCCTTCAACGAGATGGACTGACACAGTGACTGCAGCAATGCCTCAGACAGTGAGGCTTGTGAAGAGAGTGCAGAATTGGACATCTAACAACACAGCAGGAAATAATACTCCCATGCCATTGGGCTTTGTACATGGTGCTGCGATCCGCATGGTTGGCAGTTTGAAACCACCAGCAGTTCTGAAGGAGAAAGACTGGGCTTTCTACTCCTGTAAACAGTTACCGTCTCAGAAACCCACAGGGGGTCTTTCTGAGTCAGTATTGACTTGATGTCAGTGAGCTTGGTTTGATTTTACTGTTATTTTAACTACCAGTATTATCACCTGTGGTAGAGAGGCTTCAGCAGAGCTTTCAGACTAAAATAGGTTAAGAAGAAAAGCCTTTCCATCTGTTTCCAGAAATTAAAACCCACTGCCATTGAGTTGATTTGGACGCATAGCAACCTTATAGGATAGAATAGAATCATTCCTTAAGGATTTCTGAGACTGGAAATCTTTATGGGAGTGCATAGCCTCAAAAAAAAAAGCTATTGAAAACCCTATAGATAATTATTAGTTTATACCCAACAAAAACTTATGTACATAGAGTTGATTATGATTTATAGTACTCTGTAGGACAGAGTAGAACTGCCCCTTTGAGTCTGAGAGTTGAAATCTTTATAGGAGCAGACAGCCTCATCTTTCTCCCTCAGAGGATGACTGGTGGGTTGGAACCACTGACCCTGTGGTCTGCAGTTCAATACATAGTCTACTATACCACCACAGATGTGAGACCTCTAGGTTGGAAGGCACTCAAAATAGGCACTAAAATGCACTTTATTATACCAGCAATCATAAAGATGGCATGGGATCAGATGCTTCATTCTGATGTAGAGGTTGACATGAGTTGGCCCTACCTCAATAGCAACTAACAATACAGAATAATAAATGCATTGACATCATTACGGATAGAGGTTTAAACATAGGTGTGTATATATGTAAGTATATTAATTCATAAAAATAGAGGTATTGGCCTATGTACATATATTTATATGGCAATACACTGAGGGAGTGGACAGACTTCAGGCCTCTGCTCAAGCCCTTCCTCAACGCAAGAACACT